CATCAGAAATTGCAGGTCCAGGTGTTGCAAGCCCCCAGCACGGCCGCGATCATTTCTGCACGGTCCGCGCTGGAAACCGCGCGGCCGCGGTGCATTTCTGCGCGGTCCGCGTGGCTAGGTTCAGAGGGCCAGTGAACTCTAGGTCAACCAGCGCTGCCGCGCACCAAATCAATGCGGTCCGCGAGGCATTTTTGCGCGGTCCGCGCCAGTCCTTCCGCAAAGTATATAAATCTGAGATTTTCAGTCATTTTGCACTTTTTCAAAACCCAAAACATAAGAGGCGATTTTCCAAACGATTCTTCTCCTTCAAAACGATTGATAAGTGATTTCTAACTTATTTTCCTTGCTTCATAACATCTTTAAATATAATTTCAACTCCCAAACAAAGATTTTAATGGGGGAATTTGGGAATTTAGGGTAGAACTAGGGTTTCAAAATTTGGGGGTTTTGGACCTCAATTTGAGGTCCGATTCCAAAATAACTTATATATCTGAGTTCATGGGGGAATGGGTAGTCGGGTTTTGGTTCGAACCTCCGGTTTTGACCACGTGGGCCAGGGGGCATTTTGGGGATTTTTGAACAAACTTTGGGAAATTCACTTTTCATGCATTCAAATTTATTAGATTAGCCTTTGTTGATACACTCAAGTAATTTGTGACTAGATTCGAGCGGTTTGGTGGTGAATTCGAAGGGTAAAGCTATACTAGAGGATTGAGTTGAGTTTGGAGCATTTGAGGTAAGTGTTTGTTCTAACTTTGGCTTGAGGGAATAGGATTAGGATGTTATTTGCTGCTTGCTAAATGCGGAGTACGGTGTATAGGCATGGTGACGGTTATCTATGCACCGGAGTCTAGCATGACCGTGAGTCTTAATTGCTTTAATTCGAATGATGCGACACAACTTCCTTGTTTAAATCGATAAACTTCATATAATGTGAGCGGTTGAGGAAGAATCATGGTTGGTATANAAACTCATTTTATACCTTTCTGCAGTGTGAGCAGTTTTGTATATACAGCAGCGGTTTTGGAAGTTTTTAACAGACTCGTCCTGAGATACCTGCAGAACAAACGAAAAACATACTGATTAAATATGATTGCAGGCAAACATATACATCAAACATTACCACATACCCCAGTGCCACTGCAGGGAGCATCCAGCAAAATCCTATCAGCAGTGTTCTGACCAAAGACTTTAGGCAGCTGAAATGATTCCCAGACAAGGTATTAGATCAGAGGACTTAACCATATATTATCACTATGTAAACCAAGAAACAGAGACACAAGGCCAGCAAAATCTGTCAAATCAGTGCCTATAGCTCAATGAAATTAGTATAGAGCTACTTCAGCCAACAAGAATGAGTGCTCATTGCGGGGAAGAAGGTAGAACAACATTGTATGAGATATAAAATGCAGCAAGTTCTAAATGGTAGATTGCAAAATATCCTGGTTCTAACCTCTCTTCCATCATAGTTACAGACAATAGTGTTTTTTACCCCCATGCGATGTAAATTAGCAGTGAGCGATTTAAGTCTTGTCTCCTTCATCTCATTTGCATAAATAAAACTTAATTTTAATTTCCAAAGTGAAATATGTCAGTTCCATTCAGACAATGATTGAAATGGCAAATGATGTTAACCAACAATATGGAAGACAGTTTTACTTACAATTAACTTCAAAACCAGAACCAGGGAGAAGAGAGAAGTTAGAAAAAATATCATGGCATTTATTATTATGTCACAAAAGCTTATGACAAACAACAGGCAGTATATAAGCACATCAGGAGAAGATGTTCATTCAATACAATCTATTTTTTTTAAACAAACAAGAACCTGAAGAAATTTCACTAGAGCAAGCAAACAGATTGACAGCACAGGCTAATGTAAACCACATGACTAAGAATGATGTACATGAGCGCATAGTAAAATACAACGAAAGCACCCAGCATATTTTGGTTCACTGCATTAGAAATTAACAGGACAAGAAATGGAAAACAACGAATTTTTTACCAGGAAATGGCAATAAAGAAAATTGACACCCCAGACGAAATATCTATTTAAAATTCATTCACCCATCGGTATCCAGAAACTATGGATGCACCATGGAGAAAATGGATTTCTTCACAAAAATATCACACGATTAACTGCAAATGAATACATACCACTATTTTTCATCAGTGCAGCAAAATAAGTTGTTTTGCTTCCAGGAGCAGCACTGCACCATGTACAAATTGCCCACTTTAGAAGAGCAGAAGTTACCAAAAGAAGTCCACTTTTCTGCTTACCGAACCAACGGTTAAACAGTCCACAGAAATTGTTTTAGCTTTTGGAATCGTAAGTGGTGCGGGGAGGATGCATTGAGGACTTCATTCCCTCGTGTATTCAGAGCTTCAAATCAGAGAGAGTTAACGGTTCACCAGATTCGCAAGGAACATGAGGGGGAAGTAGTATGGGATCTCACGTTCAGAAGGAACCTACAAGAATGGGTGATAGGGGAGTTCCAAGTTTGTTGGAGTTGCTATACAGGAAAACCAGGCCCCAGTCTAATGGTGACTCATGGAGATGGGCATTGAGGAGTGATGGGTTGTTCACAGTCAAGTCCTTCTACCAGAGTTTGTTGGTGAGAGAGGAGGCATTTTCCCCACACACATCGATTTGGATTCCTAGGGTACCTAGGAAGGTGTGCTTTTTTGCATAGTTGGCAGCGAGGGGAGTGATTATGACAGCTGACAATCTGAGGAAGAGAGGTATTACACACATCAGCTGGTGCTATATGTGTAAATGCTCGGGGGAAGAAGGTGATCATCTTTTGTTGCACTGTTCTGTGTCAACGGGCTTGTGGAGGGTAATCCTGAACTTTTTTGGTGTTCAATGGGCGACGCCAGGCACTGTTAGAGACATGCTGCATAGCTGGTCCGGTTTCCGTACAAAAGGCACGGAAGATTGCTCCGTTAGCACTCATGTGGGTCGTTTGAACGGAAAAAGATAGGAGAGCTTTTGAGGGGATTGAAAATAATTTTGCACATTTAAGGAATAGTCTTGTCTTTGATTGCTTTTTGGTTCACCAATGTAGTCCCTACTTGTATAGATGATTGGGTGTCTTTTGTAGAGAATCATGTTTTGATGCAGATTCTCTATCTTTTGATATACCGCTTGTATACGAGAGTTTCTCCCTTTTTTAATGATATCATTTACCTGATAAAAAATAAAAATAAAAATTTAGCTGCCCTCTCAACGGAAAAGATATTAAAAATGGATAACTTGAACCTAAGATGGACAAAGTTGCTGATCTAAAGAAAGAAAAGAGAAAATACAAGTGAAGAGGAACAGAAGATGCATTATTTTGTTACATTAGCTTTTTCCTAGACTATCTAAATATGCACTGGACAACTCTTACAGCAATCAACTTGTTAATTCTTACTGATACATAAATGATGATGAAAAGATAATAAAAAAAGATCTCAATTAAAAACTAACTGAATAGTGAAAAATTCAATGATGGACAATCGAAGCAAACATTAGTAGACAAAATTATTTACTTACGCCATATCAACAACACGTTCATTCTCCTGAGGGGCAAGGGGCATTACGGGCATAAAACTAAGAACTCGCACCTTGGAGCTGTAAGCAAGTAATTTGTTTGAAATAAGCATTACAGGTGCAAAGCCATCTTTTAAAATGTAATGACCAGCCATGTACTCGGGAGTAGCACCAACTAAGGAGGATACATATGAAATAACATTGATACCTAAATAATGGGTCAACCCAAAGAAAACACAGTTAATCCTTGTACCTTTGCTTAATGGGTCCAAATTGACACCTCTGTTAAGAAGAACACCAGCTAAATCGCTTCAACCCCGTCAAAGCAATAATACACTATGAGTCAACCATCAGAGCGACAAAAGTTAAGGATAGAAAAGAGGCAGAGAAAAATATGACCTTTAAAGTGTTTGTCCGCAGAGAAATAGGCCGGGGCTTTTCAAATGCTTCAATAAGTTCAATCAGCTCAACAGCAGTAAGGTCACATATCATTCACACTGAAATGAAAAGGGAAAGGGTGCAGAGTCTAGACTAGTTTGAGTTAGAAATTATCTCCACTAATGCTTCAATCACAAAATCATTGTATCCATAATATGAACACAAGTCCCTTTTAAGTTGATCAACGTAATCCTTACGTGTCACACCTTCTTGCCTCAATGACTTCAAATTTGAAAGCACTCGAACAACTGCATTTATTTTTATTATATTTCAATTTCAATGATAATGTTACTTCTCGAAAGAAAAATAATTCAGAAGAAAAAGAAACTCACTCTCTTTTATCCTCCTTTGGAGATTAGAGAGGCCCGGGGTTCTATGTGTTTCTTCTTCAAGCTCCTAAAAATACAAAGACATATTGATATTTTATACTTCAATACCACATAAGAGGGGATGATTTGTGTGGTACCCAATTTTCTCTTAGCTTGATTATAGAAGGATCTAGTTCTTCTTGATGGATTATTATATGCAGCGGAAGCAATCCCAGTATCAAAATCACATGTAATCTAGACAACTAGCATAAACAGGATTTCACGGGTTACCTCTTGAAGCGTGAGCAAAACTCCTTTATCACGTGAGCGTCCAATTCTACAGCAACTCAATGAATTCTCTACCACCCGCACGATCACGATCTCCGAACGTTCCACCGTCTTCTACTGTGTTACCCAAATAATACCCGGAAATAGTAATTTCGTGTGGGTGAAATTTCTAAGGAAAAGGGGCTGAAATTCGGCCACCATGTGCTCCCCTTCTAGGTGGAAAAACTTATGTATTTATAGCACAAGTTTTAAGGGTTAAAACCCTTTTACAAAACTTGTTGGGTTTTCTTTTCCATCAGAAAAAGGATTCCTTTATTTTCTATTATTTAGGCACAATAGGAACCACAAAATTTAATTAACAAGGCTTCCAATTATGGAATTAATTTATAATTCTCGAAATTAATATCCACCATAATTAATTATGAATTATTCCACTAAAAATTCGTAATTGCACTCCTTATTCAATTTCGAAATTCATCCATTAACTCTTATTTAACTCCCCATGTTAAGATTCAGATACTAATCAATTAAATTAAATTACTGACGATTTAATTTATTGATTATTTCCTTCAGACTTTCGCTTAACTTATTTTATGTGTCGGATACAAAATCCACCGGCCGGGTTTACACACGAAAACTTATAAGCTTTCATGAAGGTGTATCATCAATCTCTAAACCGAGACATGGATTCCATCAACTAACTATTACTTCGCCAATGTACATTATTATTATCCAATTTACCAGGCATATTGACCCACGAAAGAATCTCGCCTTTTAATAAATCAAAACAATAATAATATACACAACTAATAATAATTATATCAAGATTAAGAGTATAAGTACATTTAATGGCTAGAGACTTTATTTTATTAAGTCAGTATAAAATACTTATCTCTACTTGGTCCGTTCAATACATACAAAATGTACTAGCACAAGAAGTTGGAATTAAACCATTCCCATAATCAAGATAAATTATATTTAATCTTGTGCTACAATCATTCCTGATGGTTTGTCCAATTCTATCATTAGATTGTGAACTCAAATTTTATACTTATAAGAACCGATGATTTAATCTTCCGTGTATAAGCTAATCTCTATACACTAAATCATCTACTATATAAGCAAAGGACACCGACTAATATATGATCTATTAAAACTTTATTAAAATTGAATGAACAATATTATCATAATAAATACTATATCTAAACCAAATCCATGGTTAATAGTATATATCCCAACAATCTCCCACTTAGACTTTTAACCATGACAATTATCAGAATATACTATATCTAAACGCATGGTTAATAGTATATGCCCCAACAATCTCCCACTTAGACTCATAACCATGCATCTACAACTTTCTCAGGCATTCTTTTACATGACTATTAAACATCTTCACCAAATAAGGTTTTGTTAAAGAATCTTGCCAAGTTATTTCTGATGCAATATTTGTCCAGTAGTGCTTTGTCGTAACCATCTAGTTTGGTATTAAACTCTTCAGGGATCCTGTTACTGAAACTATCCCAAGAGTGTACACCGAACTATGATTTTCTTTAGCATTCTCCCACTACGACGAAGTACTACTAATATTACCTTCATTACCTTACGGCATTGAAATATTAGTGACTTCTTACTATAGTGTTCACTGTTCAAACATCACTCCCACTCGATAAAGGCATATTATGTCTATTAACGTTCTCCCACTACTCAAATGCAATGGAACGTCAATTCCGACTTGTGGGTTTTGATGTTCTTGAACGTCGATTTGCCTTATTTTTGGATATTCAATAAACATGCACCTTCCATTCTTAGTTCCAACTTACATATCCGCTTTCCCTTTCAGTACATATGCAGGACAATCCTATATCTGAACATGTCACGGACTGAGCTTACATTCAGTCCACTGTTCTACAAATGTCCCAGGTACTAACTTAGAAGGAACTAAATTTAGAATGCAATTTGCAGTTTCTAGAAAATATTCCAAAAAAAAATAAGGCAATCTGAATAACACGTCATTAATCTATCCATGTCCAAAAGAGACTTATTTCTTCTTTCTACCACACCACTCTATTATGGAGTTTACGGTGTAGTCAATTGAGATGTAATCCTTTATTCTGATAAGTAACAAAAGAACTCTTTAGCGAGGTGCTCGCTACTACAATCAAATTGCAGTAACTTAATATATTTCCTTGGTGCTTCTCCGTTTCAAGTCTTAAAATCTTGATTTACTTAATTCATTAAGACTTACGGTGCATCAAATAAATATATTAATATTTTGAGTAATCATTTATGAACGTCACAAAAATACTCAAAACTATCTCTCACCAGTATGCTCATTTAACCATACAAATCAGAAGGAATTCATTCTAGCTTATCACTAGCTTTATTTTCTTTTGAAGGGATACAACCTTTAGTCAAATTTCCTTCCAAACAGGATCTACAAGTTGGTAGTGCCTCTACTTTCAATGAACCTTAAGGTCCATCCTTGACCAACTTGAAATCCTATCTAGATTAATATGACTTAGACAAAAGTGCACAGATAAGTTTTACTCAATTTTGAAGAACATATTCTCTTATGAGGTAGACTATTATTGTTCTATTCAGGAGAGACATTAATATACAATAACAAGGTCATGCATTCATGCACCACAAGAGATAAAATGTTTATCAAGCTCAATAACTCAAGAGTTATTTGAAAAATAAAACAAATATCCATCTCTTATTTTGCCCAGAAACCGGAATTAAATTCCTTCTAACAAAAGCACATATATTGCATCCTTTAAATTAATGTCTTAGCACTAAAAGAAAATTTTAACAAGTAATACGACAAATTACATAAAGTCATTGTGGAGTTGAGATAAAAATATTAAATAGATCATAATAAGTCAAAACACTGAATACTAAAATTCAGACTGCATTCAATATTTATATACATACATGCATCTCGAATAATAAATTTCGATGGGAAAAGAATCATTCATGCAAAGTATATTATATAATGCAAGAATTATACAATCCAAAAATAAATAGAACCAACTCATATGAAGAGTATACTATTATTTTCAGTCAATTGTATATAACCTTTTAGTACAAAATTTTTTAACACACTGAACATATATGTCATGCATCTTGAATAGCAATTTCGATGGGAAAAGAACTACTCATGCAACATACATATGTAATGCCAGATTATTCACTCTAATAATTAAAACAGACCCAACTCAGATGGAGAGTATACTGTTAATTTAAGTCAAGTGAACATCATTTTTAATAGCTCTAGTTCCATTGATCCAACATGTATACTCAGATGGAGAGTAAGTACATGATATCAATTACTAGTATTTCACCTAGTGAGCTTACAATAAATTTATCCGATATGGAGGAAGACCTAAAGTCAACGCGTAAATTTATTACTCACTTGAAATTAATAGTGGAAGACCATAGAAATATATTTCTATCACCACTTAATCATGATTGTATTTTAGTTATAAAATTGATTCAACCCTTAAAAATCAGATGGAAAGCTAATACATGTTATCAATAACTAGTAACTATATCCAGTGAGTTCATAATAAATTTATCCGATATGGAGGAAGACCTAACGTCAACGCATAAATTTATTATCTCACTATAAATAAAAAATGCAGATCATAGGGGTTAATTCCTATCACCACTTTATCACAACCATGAACTTTTCTCTGAGGATTAAGTTCCATAATTAAAAAAATGCTCAAAACCCCATTTAAACAGTCTTAAAACGCTAAAATTAATGTTTTTCACTGCACAGCAGTGAGTATTGTTCATTGGGCTGTCTCTGATAAGCCTACCAAATTTCATATCAATCGAAGATCGTTAAAATCACAACCACCAAAAATTGCGACCAAATTTGGAAAATTACCATTTTAAGCATTGTTTAAGAATTTAAAATATGACCTACATTCTTATCATATACCAATTCATGTCAAATTAGCATGTGTTATCATGTTCCAGATTAGACATAAATAAAATGATAGAAAGAATGACTTTTCGTATGTAAATCACATTTTAATCCGCCAAACCTCCAAAAAACTCATCTAAACGATCCCGAAGCGTCATTCGGATGATCCTACCAAATTTCAGGTCATTCGGAGATCGTGAAATTTACGATCGCCAAAAACTTGACCAAATTCGAATAAATTATGTTTGGCGTATTTAGGATTAAATCCATGTGATTTGCATTCTTGCTATATATCATATCAAGTTAAACCATCATGTTTCAGATTTAACACAAATATAGCTGATATATAAAGAATAATTTTTCATATTTATAACAAATTCAATTTAATAAACTGCTTGAAAACCCATCTAAACGACCTCAAAATGCCGAAAAACAGCATGATGCACTGCTTAGCAGTGAGTTTTTCTCACTAGATCGTTTTCGATGAACCTACCAAGTTTCAGGTCAATCGGAGTTCGTCAAATTCGTGACCACCAACTTGTAACCAAACTCGGAGAATAACCGTTATAAGCAGTTTCATGAATTAAAATAAATATGATATTGATTTCCATTCTTCTTATAATTATACTATGAGCTCAAGGCATATACGTCACGAACCGAAACCCGCACTAGTCGTGATGGCGCCTCTCGTGAAGACAAGGCCAGCCAACAGAACAACGCCTCTTTCAAAATTATTAAACATAAATGAATAGATGAATACAACTTATTGACAATAATAATCGATATTTACAACCCAACACAGCCCGACCGGGGTGTCACAAGTCATGAGCATCTAGAGAAGTCTGAACACGACTACAGGGCCAAT